GCTCCTAGCAGCGATGCCAGGAGCCCCTAGTAGCTTCTTGCTCCTAGTAGTAAGGCCAGGACCCCCTAGTAGCGTCCTTGCTCCTAGCAGCGAGGCAGGAGCCCTTAGTAGCTTCTTGCTTCTAGCAGCGATGCCAGGAGCCGCTAGTAGCTTCTTGCTCCTAGTAGTAAGGTGAGGAGCCCCTAGTAGCGTCCTTGCTCCTAGCAGCGATGCTCCTAGTAGCTTCTTGCTCCTAGTAGTAAGGCCCGGAGTCCCTAGTAGCGTCCTTGCTCCTAGCAGCGATGCCAGGAGCCCCTAGTAGCTTCTTGGTCCTAGTAGTACGGCCAGGAGCCCCTAGTAGCGTCCTTGCTCCCAGCAGCGATGCCAGGAGCCCCTAGTAGCTTCTTGCTCCTAGTAGTAAGGCCAGGAGCCCCTAGTAGCTTCCTTGCTCCTAGTATACTAGTAGCGTCCCGTTACACTCACTCGTCTTCTCATGGTCCCTTCCGTGATTGTTTGACAATGCCAATATACAAAAAACAAGAACGCCATTGAAAACTAGGACCAATTCGATATTGGCTGGTCCTTAGGCCGTAACTACCATCTAGACCTTTCGACCCGTTCATGATTCTCCTTTCTCCGGCTTTCTTCATCTCTCTTTCTTCGTTTTGGTGTTTCCCTCAATTCCCATCGATGCCTCCGCTTCTGCCAGTTGTAATGCCAAACGCTGCTGGTTCAGCTGCTGCAAGGCCTCCTGGCACCGTTGCTGGGCCAAACGTAGTGCCTCGACATGTTCCGGCTCAAAAGATCATGACATCGATAAAGAAGATACTGTCGCTCCGTTTGGAAATACGCGTGGTCGGGGGTCCTTCCTTGCTCCGTTTAGAGTTCAAGAAAGGCCTAAACATCGTTTCACAAGAATTGGACGGACAAAAGGCCGACTCGAAATCTTCATGATTCTAGTAACTAGAAGCTACTAGATGGCGGCCATCGCTACTAGTAAAAAGAAGATGATTTCTCTTTTTAACACTAAACTATAGTTATATATATTTGGCTTTAAAGGATGGTGCTCCTGTCGCTTCCACAGTTCGACTTGGGCCTCTCGTGTGGCGAGCACGGCCTCTCGAGCTGCTGCCCTCTCCTGCAAGGCTGTGCTGCTACGGCTGACGAGTTCCTGAGAACGTGTTATGTGCAAAGGCGCAACTAAAAGTGCTTCTGGCGTATCATGTACAACTCAAAGTCTGCCCGCACCGAAGGTGCCGAGGCGTTTTTATAGGGCACGTGCTATACGTAAGCTAGCATACGCAAGCCAATAGCTTTAGCTAGGGGGGGCTATTTTGAAGCCCCTGGTGACGCAAGAAATACCATTTTCTTCCTTTGCATGATTTGAATCATCTGCGCGGTAAAGTGTAATTGGACTGAGGCCGGACATTTGGCTGAACAGGCTCCCCTAACGTGGCTCAACATAGCTTCCATATTGCCTAACATAGCCCTAGAAGTCACTATCTAACGGACGTGTCTGCGAGATAGGGACTTGAACGCAAAACATGGCCCAACGAGGGCTCAAACGGGACTGGAATAAAGTAAAGAGATTGCCTAACATAGCCCTAGAAGTCACTATCTAAAGGACGTGTCTGCGAGATACTTGAACGTCGTAAGCATAGCCCAACGAGGGCTCAAAAGGGACTGGAATAAAGCCCCCCCCCCAACGTGACCGAACATAGCTTCCATATTGCCTATAGCATAGCTTTAGAAGTCACTATCTAAAGGACGTGTCCGCGAGATAGGGACTTGAATGTCCGGATATTTGGCTCCACAGGAGCCGAGATAAGCAGAGATCAGGTTCAGGAACGGTAACATTTTCACGAGCACAAGTACCCGTTCCAGATCGTGTCACTTCCGGAAGCTCTCTAACCACTTACCCGACCCGCAAAATGGCTGCAGTCTTTTAACCCCACAACCACGATTACTTGAAAAAGCACTCTGACTCCAACGAACTCTACCAACGGCACCTGTTCCGTGACCATAGTGACTTCTGGGCTATGTAAGGCAATCTTGAATATTTTCCAGTCCATTTTGAGCCCTCGTTCAAGTCCCTATCTCGAGGAAGCATGCCTGAGATAGTCACTTCTGGGGCTATGTTCGACCATATGCAAGCTATGCTCGTGAGAAAATCTTACCGTTCCTGGAAAAAGCTATGTTTGGTCACATTAGGGGGGGTCTTTGTTCCAGTCCCTTTTGAGCCCTCGTTGGGCTATGTTTACGACGTTCACGTCCCTATCTCGCAGACACGTCCTTTAGATAGTGACTTTTAGAGCTATGTTAGGCAATATCTTTACCTTATTCCAGTCCCTTTTGAGCCCTCGTTAGAAAATGTTACCGTTCCTTATCTCTGCTCCTGTTGAGCCAAATATCCGGCGAACGTCTCGAGCTACCTGCGGAAAAGATACACCAATTTGCGACGTTCCCACATTCTAGCGCTATGTTAGGCAATATGGAAGCTATGTTCGGCCACGTTGGGGGGGGGGTGACTTCTGGGGCTATGTTCAATGGAAGTACCTACCTTGACCCGTTCCTGCAGTCTTTGAACCCTCCCATGCGGTGCGGGCGGCTCCTGTCGCGAAGCGACGTGAATATCTCAAAGTGCGTGTCATGCATATGTGTTCTCATTCTTGCAATCTTGCACACACTTTCAGAGGCTTTGCTTGAGCTTGGGATCCACACAGCATGTTGATCCACATACGGCTCTCTTGCCATCTCCTCAGCCTCGTGCCAAGAAATGACCCTTCGTTGTTCGTTCCGTTGACTTGGCAACGAAGGAAAGCGCTCAGGCCAACACCCTCGCATCGTTTTCCAGCTCCTGAGTTAAGCGTTGCAAGGCTGTCTCGCCAGAAAGTATGCCTTCAAGATATAGGTTCTTTTCGTGGGAGATCATGACTTAGTCTCTTAAGGTTTCATATGCATCGAAAGGTGAATCACTGAAGCGTCCTTGCTCCTAGTAGCGATGCCAGGAGCCCCTAGAAGCGTCCTTGCTCCTAGTAGCGATGCCAGGAGCCCCTAGTAGCGTCCTTGCTCCTAGTAGCGGTCATTAAAAACCGATTCGTGCATATTCTGCAGATTCCAACATGTTCCGCGGAGCACCGAGGCTGACACTTGCATCAAGCTCTCAATGTGGGCCATCCTGTGTAGGTGTTCGTGACTGACAGAGCAGACGGCGCGGAGCACCAAAGGGAGGAAGACGGTCAAAGGATGCACGCCACCAACGCATAGGAATTGGTGGAAACATGAACACAGCAAGTCGTAAGTATATTCTGGTAACAAGGATGTCAACACTAAAAGTAGAACCACAATGTAGAATATATTGTTTCTTGTCGAAACGTATCGCTGCAATAACTTGTTGGAACACTTCTCGCTTTGCTATTGTCCCTGTTGTCCTGCTCTGAGCTGCGGTGGACAATCGCGGAAGCAAAGAAGATTCCTTTGCCAAGGATGGCCTCAACGCTTGTACAGTAAGACAACCTAATCACTTTCTTCGACAGCAAACATTGAGGCACCCCACAAGCCGGCAAACACCTGCCCAGCAGATCGGCTTTGCGATTCACATAGGATTGGTGATCTTGTGCAACATTTCAAGGCATCATGCCTCAAACTGTCCTTCTGAAAGCTTCGCCTTGGCTCAGCGTAGTGTTGGACATGAGTCTGCAGAACTGACTCCACCACCATTACCTAATGAAGTTTCCCAATCAATCTAGGAACCAAATCATTAGTGTGTGAGCTATCCTGCGTCCATATATAATAGCGCCCCAGTAGCTAGGAGCGAACAAGTTTGTCCCTTACTTAATGAAGTAGGCACCGGCACCTACTACAGTACTTAATTAAGGAGACATGGCCAAGGGATCTAAAAAAGCAAACAAACAAACAAACAAACTTGTTGCTTGGATTGACACCCCTGCATCATCCAGCTTCTGATAGAGGTCCTTCGAAGGCTTCGCTCTTCGAATTTCATCTAATTTCATCATGCCAAAAACACAACTCCTGGGTGACACCAGTCTTGGTGTGGGAGGCTTGAAGGAGGTATTCCAATTGCATAGTCTCAATCCTCAGGATCGCTTCAATGCGTAGTCATGCCTGTTATCATCATTGATTGGCCTATTTCATGGATAGAGATCGTCCAAATGCCATCTTGGAAAGCCGACCGTGCATTTGTCACCAGTGCCGACCAAGGAGCTCTGCCGACCTAACGGCCTCCTCAGCCAGACTGCTTCGCCGGAGCGCTGTCATGGCCTGCCAGGTTGGGTGCCCGGCGGGCTTTGGAGCGTTGCTTTGAGCGGTTCCACGGTGTTCCACAGCGTCCCCAATTTCAAGATATCCCCATCCCTGCCCATCCCCGAGTCTCTGATGAAATCCACAACATTCAATGTTAGTGGTTTGCCCGATGTGTGGCTTTGAAAAAAGAGAAGAAGCAAAACAAAAAGCCACATATCTAACAGTTTAAGATCATATAAAATATATAAGGGCACTGCGAGTTTTCCGGGCCCCAAGCACAGCAGTATGTCAAGAGCTTATGTCCATATATATATATATATAGTGTGTGTATTATATATATACTGTATTAAACATATGTTGGAAATTTAACACATAAAACATATACAATATCTTGTTTGCTTGCCTTTATGTTCGTCTAGGCAATTCCAGCTATGTAACTACTTCATTGTTTTGCAGTGCCGACTGGCTAAATATATTTACGCCTTAATAGCATTGATATAGTGGCATGAACCCTTCCACTATCCCTGGCAACATATCACGTGTTTCTTAAACATGCGGAGTGTCCTCAAAAGGAAGTACAGCCTTCCGTTGAAAGAAGGGGACATATGCTTGTGTAATATGCAGCATGATTTTAACATATTGCATTCCTAACTAATTACTAACAAGTGCATGCAACACAAGACATGATTATAAACACAAAATTGAGTATAAACACGGGCATGGTTGTTGTACAATGCAGACTCTAACTTTGACCACGTATGCCCAGTTGTTGCAAGATGCAGACTTTAATGTGAGTTGCTAGAAGCAGATGGAGAGGACAGGTAATAGTAGTATACAAGTAATAGCTGTATTTCACAACTACATGATATACAGTTATATACATGGGCTCAGTGTGCCCTTTTAGTTATAGTTTCATTGGGTCCCGGAAAACGCACCGATTCCATATTGAAAATTATATATAATATATAATATAGTATAATATGATATGATCTCATATAATATGTATAGTATATATAATATATAGTATATAGTAATACACTCCCTGAAATAATCATAGAATAGTACAACATAACATTTAACAGTTTAGAATACGTTACGTTACAACATAATAGTGCAGTTTAGAATATAACTTTATAACTTAACAGATCTTAATCGTACATAATAATTAGTACAGTTGAGACATGTTTAGAATAAGAAAAAACGAGAAGTCGGTCTCTGTGTGAACATGTCTCTCAGTTTGCTAGTCTGACCAAAAACTCTTGGGTTGCTGGTCTCGCCAAAGGCCTGGCTTGTTGCCTCTTCGCAGTCAGCTTTGCTGCGTTGCACTTGCGCTTCGTGCGCCTGTGAGAATCCAAAATGGAGAGTTGCTTGGGTGAATGGACGGATTCATACCAGGCTCGCCCACCTTCACCGCGTTTCGGGCTGATGCTACTTTGGCCTGTCTCATCGGTCTTCATGTTCAAAAGGCAAGTCAAGACTCAAACTTGAAGTCCCCGCTCTTCCTCCATCGGTCAAACCCTCAGAATCTGAGGCCTGCGCACGATATTGGCCCAAAGCTTCTCGAGCTGCGTTCGCATAGGCCCCCTGAACAAAGGCCATTGCACGAAGAAAAGGTCGCTCTAGGCTCTCAACTTTATCAGTCCAGAACGTGCATATCAAGACTTGTCCAAACTGCTTTTCAGCACGATTCAAGTTGGCAAGCACAGCTTCCCTATGCCTCTGGAGATTCGTGCTGGCAAACAACTTGGACTCCATTGCTCTTCACCTATCAGCAGGGACTGTGATTCTTGCGCGAAGGCTAAATGGAGGATGTGTGGAGAAAGGGGGTCAGCAAAAATCGCTTACCATAAAAGATAGCTTCCACAAAGTTCTGTGAAGGTTTCTGGGATTTTGTTGCAGTCAGTTCTCCTACTGGCCCACCATTCCACGAATAGCCCTGGGTTCTACGAATGTCCCGCGGCTTCCACGGTGTTGGTAGAATAGGTGTTTGCAAAACTCTTTCTGTGCACCACCCTTCCATTTGCCTCTGACTAGTGGCTTCCTGATGCTTCCAGTATCCCGGCCCCAACATGTCAGTTACTCGACGCTTGAACAAGAAAACCGTTGTCGACTTCAAGATACAATCCAAGTGCCTCGAAACCAGAAGAAACCTGGGACACCGGAGGGGACACCTTGCCTGAGGGACCTGCGTCACACGGTGCATGCGGGGCATGCAAATGTTGGACAAGGGCATCTCGTCTTCGGAGTCGGCATCTGGAAGATCCTGTCGCATGGATCGGCGTGAGCTGTCGCATCGTCGCATCACTGCCCGGACGGGAAGCCTCGTGCTCCGCTTCTGGAGCTACTCCTGCAGCGGAAAAAGAGCGAAGGTACTTCCGCCTTGGCGCTGGAAGAAGAACTCCTATATCATCCGCACGCCGTTTTCCAGTGATGCGTCTGGCCTGTCAATTTGAAGCTCTACAATCTACATCTGCTTCACACATCTTCACACTGTCTTCATTATGAAGACTCTTCATTCCAAGACATTGGTACTGCCAGCCCAGTGACATCCAGTGACAAAACAAGCACGCACTGCGTCGTAGCACACATGCACCGTAGCACGGCCTTTTTTGCTGGTCCAGACACCTCCTCGGTAGCCTGATGAGTGAGACAATCAGGACGAATGAATCTGTACTTCAAGAGTTGAATATTCTAATTAGCATTAATTAGCAAATTATGAGGAAGAGAAACGCATCTTAAGGGATTTGAGATCATGTCAAAGGCCTCCTCATCCAGACCATCAGGAGTTCCAGCCTGTGCAAGATCGAGGACTCATCATTTTTGAACATCACAAAATGAGAATGCCTTGGCCAGGAAATCCAAGAACTGTCGCCATTCGCACAACTGGACCTACATGGAATGGTGGCATCAAAAACCCCCCAAAAAAAAACGCCGACACGCCATGGACCGTCCGCCTGCATGGTCACTGCGCTGAGTTGCCCTGGTCTGGTGGAGACCTGCACAGTGCTTTGGAGACAGGTCTGTCTGCCAAAGCAACGACGTGTTCATGTTCAATGTGAGACAGGTCAACCGATACTAGGCTCCTAATTCCGTTTCTCGCAACTCACAAATCAATGGCCTGCTCCAAGACTAAAGGTAATTGAGCGAAGCGCTTTTGTGCCAGGCTCTCCACCTTTTGTGCTCAAGCGCTGCGCAAACCATGCGCAAACGTTGACATGGTTCTTTCATCTGTCTGGACATGTTGCACCGGTCTGGGTTTAGATGTCGAACAATCACACCTCTTGAAACGCTCAAATGTCCAAATGAGTTGCTGCAACAGTTGCAACAAGAGTTCAAACATGTTCAAACACTTGAAGTGTTTCGGAGACTCTTTTCGCACATTGTGCACATCTTGGCACCTTGGCAAGCAGCCGCCAGAAGCTTTGTGCGGCAGATGCCTGAGAGCTATTCGCAGCCCGGGTAGCATTTCCCAGAACATCGCGAGGGTCATCCATGCCTCAGAGGAAGGAAGAAGGGAAAGAAAAAGGAAAGAGATTGTCTTAAGGTCTAAAGAAAAGAATACTAAAAGTAAAGAAAACCAAATTTCAAATTTCAAAATTCCATACATTTATATAAGGCCTTGATGTTAGTGTGGAAAACTATGACCCCAAAACACTCAGATTCCACACTAATTACTCAGGGAAGAAAGAGAGCACCAATAAAAACCGTCCTTCCTCGGCTTTGAGGCTCGCACTATTGCTCGGGAAGAGCCTCTGTAAAGCTTTGAGTGCTCCCACTCCGACCTCACGCTTGGCATGTTTCGAGGTGCTGAAAGAGGGGTTGGGCCATGAGACTCCAACATCGCATGTACTCGCCAAGAGCTGCAAGTGAGGGTAGGCGATGTCAATACTCACCTAACTGCGACGTCAAATCAGAGTCTTCACGGGTGCCAAGGACGCTACTAGGAGCAAAGGGCATCGCTACTAGGACGCTACTAGGGGCTCCTGGCCTTACTACTAGG